CCGTTCTTCTGTTTCTCCGCCGTTACATAGAAGATATTACTTTCTCCGTCACGTTGTTTTCAAAAGCTACAACCACTTCCTGTCAGCCGCGTTAACTTGCCTTTAAAATAAAAGCATACAAATGAAACAGGAAGTTCACCTAAATTACATTATAAGATATATATAAAACTGCAACGAAAGCAACAAAAACAATGCAACATTCCCTTCAGTCTCAAATAACACAAATTGGGTTATCTACAACACAACTTAAGCGTATTCAAGGGTTTAAGTACACACACACTTTAGCATCTTTTGGAAGAGGTCAAGCGCATATGAAGTGCTGAAAAGTGACGGCCCCTGCCTGTTTTTTGATGAGAAAGGCCCCGGGGAGTCAACATAGGAATGATGGATAATCTGTGACTGAAGATGCTATTATCATCTCGCTGCTGAGGCCATCCAGACAGTCTGGATCTCTACCTCCTGACACTATCCTTTTCCCCTCCCCAGAAGTATTGTGATAATGTTCTGCCTGCAACAAAAAGCTAATATCGGTTTTGTTTGTTTGTGCGCATCTGTGTGTTTCCAGTGGCATTTCAGAATTCATAAACTCCCTGATGTGGCACATAGCCTCTTAAATCTTAAAGCTCGTTTATTGCTTGGAAAACAAATGTGACGTTCTCTCGTCTGGCTAACAAGGGATTATCCATGTCCGTGCCTATTTTTGGGTAATTTATTCTCTTTTTCCCTTCTGTACTTACTTAAAGAAATGTTTTATTTATTTTTCGGTTTAGAGTAAGACTGAGAGGAATGAAAATTGCCCCATTTTTTATTTCCTTTTGTCTTGTCTTCTTGCATGGTGCCTTATTATCGGTAAATCCCCGTTGGTGTTGAGGCGCATTTCAGAGTCATTTGGAAAGAGTCTCAGCTTTGGGATTGTTTATCCATCAGAGAGTTTACGAAGCAGCACAGAATCTGTATGTTTCACAAGTATTGAATAAGGGATGTACATTCCCTGTGGAGGAATGTAACAAAGCAACCTTCACTTCTACATGTTTCGATGCCGCTCATGTTTACATTCCGCATTCTTTTTTTTAAATGCCCTGTTTCCTATGCCCTCAGGTAATGAGCGTATTGTAATGCATTGATTCATTCCAGACTTTAAAACAGCTTTAGATGTAAATTAACAAAACAAAAATCATATCTTCTGCACTTGTTTGTAATATTGAATAATATTGGTTATGCAGATAACAGATGTCCTCCAATTATACTCTCCTACTTACATTTTAACAAGGCTGCATTATCATGCATGTTTGTGGCTGAAGCAAACAAAGAATAAAATACACATTACTCATATAAATATCATGTTTTCTCGCATGACGTTTTAACTTAGTCCTCTATATAAGGATGTGTGTTTAAGCAGGTTCTTTTGGTGTGACCAAAAACATATGTTAAGTTTCTTAGGCAAAGGACAATTATTTTAAACATGGTGAACCACAATGTAACCCTTGGATGGGCATTCACAAATACATATTTAGGAAAATGTATCGATTGCTATTTTCTACTACACCCATTATACACTGTTATAACACCCATATTACACATAAATACATCCCTATAAGACGCCTATTTCAACATTATTTCACCCTTCTTACACAATATTTCTCCATTATAAGACCCATGTTACAGTACATCATTATTACACCTGTATTACACCCTTATTATACTCATGTTACACCCATGTTGTATTGTTATCAAACCAATAAAAGATTGTTATTAGACGCATATTACACCCATTTAATAACAATATCATACCCGTATTACACCGCAATTACCCAGTTTTCCCCAGGATACATAAACATGTAAGGGTTAAAACCCATACGGTTTGTAATGGTCCAACAAATGTACATTTTAATCTCTTGTCACCTGTTAGTGGGAGACTGGCAGGTGACTGCTTACATTCAGCTGCCTTTTTCATTTTTTTTTTTGGTAAATGAGTGTGGAGGAAAAAGCCATCATCACCTTCATATGCCAAATTTTATGATTTAGGAGGCGACACACACACACACACTCATTAGTAGATCAACACAAACTCACACTAAAGCTACACAACATATGTGCAATCACACATGAGGCTACGTTGGGGATTAATTAGAACTAGATCTTTAACATTGATTAAAAGTCTCAGCTGTGCTCAGATCAGTCATTTGGCTTTGGGACTCAAAACACACACACACACACACACACACACACACACACACACACACACACACACACACACACACACACACACACACACACACACACACACACACACACACACACATTTGCTCCAAACAGTCCTCAGAAAACGAAATCTGTTATACGACAGTGTGTTAGGTCGAAATAAAGTATCCATCGAGGTTTGTTGAGATTAGAGAGGTAAATTAACAAAACAGAAACTAGAATATCTTGAGATTATAAACTCATACATTGTAAGAAAAAGAGATTCAATTGGGACATGTACAGTTTGTGTGCCGATGTAGAAGAAGAAAGCTTT